AGAAAAAACCAAGAAGAAAAAGAAAGATGATAATTATAATGACAAAAAAGTGTATTCTCAAATTTTCCATCTTTTTCATAGATGAATTTCACAGTAATGAAGTACTCTAAAAAGTTCAAAAATTTTAGTGCTTCTTCCACCCTACCTTTTCCCTAATCTTTGCAAAATTATACAAAAATAAATGATTTAGCAAAAAAATCGTTAACCTTCACAAGAGAGACAACGAATACAGACAGACCAGTCTGATAAAAAAATTAAAAAGACAGCCCTAACACTATCCAGAATCGACCTAAGCGGCATTTAACTTATCATCCAAAGAGATGGAGCGGTTTTTGCTTCTTGCTGAGGAAGCTGTTGGATACGCTGGAAAAAGAAGCAAATAATTCAGACAAAGCTAGCCATTTAGTGAAGACAAACCCTAATTACTTCTCCAAAGCTTTCTTACCTTCAATCAACTTTTTTCTTAATCCGTTAACCTCTTCAAACAACCAATCCAAAAACAAATAAATAAATAAATAAAAGGTAGATAAGTAAACAATATTAACAACAAATAAATAAAGTAAAATGAATACATGTCTACATAACTTCTTTCTGATGAAACTAAACTGGAGCAATAACGAAAAGACTGAGAAAAGGAGATGCTGGAAATTGCTATCTACCAACATATTTATTTTTTATTTTTTCCTTTCTTGTGATATTTCCATATTCATGTGTATCAATTTTCATCTTAAAGCACACACATACACATATAAAAAAGGCAATAATGTGATCTTCAAGCTTAAGGAAACGAAGGACAAATTTACATCATTCCCTAACTGTATGCTTCTTGGTATAGAAAAAAAATGAAAGAATTACAATTAAGAGTTTTTTACAAACCTTACTTTTTCCCCTAGTGATTTTTTCTAAGCAAATAAATTATGTGAAAAATTTATTGCTGCCTACAGTTTTCTAGTATCATTAAATATTAAGGTAAAAAGAAATAAACTTTTTATCTACTGTTACACCCAAGTTTTTTCAAAATGTCTGTCATTTCATAAAACAACTCTTCTAACATTCCAACACTCAAACTTCACAAAGTCTTCCAAAATTAACTTAGTTTTCATACAATGATTTTACAATGCAGCTGAAAAACTGGTGAGTGACAAAATAGCAGATAAATATTCCGAAAAAAATGATGCAAAAAGCGACATAACTGTCATTACCAATTTAGCCTATACTGCATTACTTTTGTTCCGTCTCAGAAAAATCACAACAATTGCTTGAAAATTAGTAATTTACAGATAAAGTCGCAAATTGGAAAATATCTGACTACGAACACTAAAAGAATAAATTCGATTAGAAGAAAATTTTTCACCCCAATATATTCCCATAAAAACGCCGAAAAAGTTTGGTATTCATGGCAAAAAGTAGCTATTATTCCTTTCATCTCTATACAAAGAAAAGCTCACAAATTTAGAAAGCAACAAAAAAAATATATATAATTTTTGTTGAGGACCATTAGAAAAATTATTGCAGCAAATATAAGAATCAGACAACAAACGTTTTGGTACGTCCCCGCAAAACCGCAGAAACAAAGTACCAGCTCCAGCAACCTTTTTTTCCTCAGCAAAATGCCTTGAAAGAAATGAATTTGGACCACAATAAATAAGCAAATAGGTTTATTACTTTACTACATAAACTTCTATATTAATGATTCAGGATCAGACTTGTAATATCCTTGCCGGCGATAAAACCTTAAACCCATTTGCCAATCCAGTCAAATCGCCCTTTCCAGGCATAAGAAAGTAGTGAAAACAGAAACAACAAATAACCACGATGTCCAACACAGATTCTTAACAAAACAATATGGTAAGGTAAAAATTGATTAAATTATAGAAGTTGACAATAAAACAACGTGAAAACTGACACGTTCTGACATTAAATTCCTGTTTGGACGTCCTAAACGTTATCAGCATCTGTCACTATAAATATTTAACGATACTTGCAACCTAACAAATGCCACAAAATATTCATGATCCGCTTTCAACTCTTTTCACTTTGTTTGATTTATTTATTTCTCGCCCCAGCTGCCTGTATGCCACACAGACAAAACATTCCTGATAACCATCTATGACAAAAAACTATTTCCGAAATATAATGAACAACAAAAAAACTACTCAGATTATCATTATTTCTTTCACAATTTCTTCCCTACCCACCTCGCTAAGGCAACAACAAAAAAATTTTCCTTCCTGTTACAGAAGCTACTTGTAGATCAACTCCAACTTCCTACGCCAAAAATATGACAAAAAACAGCTTTGGAACTAACTGACTAGAATGCCAATAACTAAAAAAAAAGAGTAAGAAGTGAACAAAGGAAAAAAATTTAATCCTTCAAACCAAATCGATAAATTGGCAACCATAAATTTGTATGAAATGCAAAATAAACCTCATGAATTTTCGCTTAAAGATACTCAAAAATAATAAGTAACCTAAAGTCAAAAAACTCACGTATTTTAAATTAACTGTACTAATGCAGAACAAAAAAAAATCCCCTTCTTTCATCAACAGCAAAAGACGATTTGCCTTCAGCAATATTTCCAGCAGTTATAAAACTCTAAAACTAAACTGTATCAAATTTCTTACCTTGACTGCTGCTACAACGACAAGTTGGTGGCAAAACAGAAATCGGCTAAACTAAAAAAAATCGAAAACGCCGTCTTCCCTACTCAACAGTGGTGATCCAAGCATCAAAAGTACCCCGTTCTACCACAAATCGATGAATTCTATGTCGTCACGCAATTAAACTGTGCCGTTTTAAAAAAGCTGTGACTTATTTATGAAAAAAAGAATACCTGCATGCTATAATGCGACAGAAGTTACTGTCAAGGATAAAAACTTAGCAACTGGTACCGTTAGATAAGGTGGTAGAGGAAGGTAAAAGAAGACTGGAGAAGATGACAAACCTTGCAAGAGATGAATCATCCGAAGATACAATGTCCGTTTTGGTCATACCACCAAGGCCGGACGATGAACCACCGCAATCCGATGATGGACGACATACCGGTGCTGTATTAGCATGCTCGTATGCTGTACCTATTACTCGATGGATCGGAGGTATACGACTAGAAGCATCCATTGGATGAGGCAAAAGCCCAGTATGCACTTGTGTACCGATCATTCTCTAAATTTGCACATCCCTCCCACACCTTTATTCTCGGCGCCTATCTGAAAAAGAAAAGATAGAGAAAAAGTAAAAAAAAAAAGACAATAAACATGAAACGTATAAATCATATAAACATTATTCAGGTTGTTTGCCTAACCAAGAACGCTTGTATATGACAACGAGAATGCTTTTCGAGAAATCAATAGCATCGCCATCGAAAACCTTAGAGAGCACAAAAACTCTCATTTTTAGATGTTCACTCTTCTTCAACAACGAAACAAATATAACTAAACAGATGCAAAAACCAAAAATAGGTTTCAGATTTTTCTGATGAACAATAAAACAAACTGAAAAATTTCACCAACAAGAAGAATTATTTTTCCACAATTACAGAATAATAAAGGTACTGCTAATTGTATCATAATAATAACAATTTTACATAATAATAATAATAATAATAATAATAATAGTAATAATAA